AATCACTCTTAAAATGTATGAAAAGGATTCAGAGTTAATACTCCAACGCTTAGAAAAAAGCACTGAAAAAGGAGTACTGACTCGACAGAACGAAACGATACCATCAGCAAATCACACAACAGTGAATTTGCCCCAGTTACCGTTACCAATATTTGACGGTAACCCAAAGTTGTGGAGAGGATTTTGGAGTAGCTTTGATGCTGCAATACACCTCCAAAACATCCCAGATATCCAAAAATTAAATTATCTTATTGCTTGTTTGAAAGGTGATGCCTTACAAGCTGTAAGGGGATATGATATAACCCCAGAAATTTACAATGTTATCAGAACGGTTCTTGTCGAAAAATTTGGTCAATCATATACAATCAAGAGGTCATGGAGAGTGACAATTGAAAGTATCGAAAGAATACTGCGACAGCTGGAAGCCATGGGCGAGAACCTGGAACAGTCAAATATTGAAATAATAGTTGAAAGCAGACTGCCAGCATGGATTCTTGAAAGGATTTATCAACAAAAGGAACAGGAATCATGGTCAGTAAATAAGCTGAGACAATTTCTCGGGAAACTAGTGCTCAGAAGTGAAGAAGTAATGAGGATCCAATCCCTGAATATAACAAAAAATCAAGAACCAGTAAAGAGTAAGTCAAAACCATTTTCACGATTTATCCCTAATGAAACCTCAGCATTATCGGTGTCAATTCCCAAATCAAAGGCGAAAGGGATTAAAACAAAAAAACCCTGCACATTTTGTAAAGATAAAGATAATAAAGATCATTGGGATAATGAGTGTCAGGTTCACTCAACAGTAAAACAAAGGACGAAACGTTTGAAGGAATTAAAGGCCTGTTTGAACTGTTTTGATAATAGTCACAAGACGGAAAACGTTCTTGTTTTTACTGCAAAGGTCCTCACAACACAGCAAAGAGAAGTATCAAGGGCATGACGAATCAAATAAAGAAGAAGCCAAGTCCGTGAACATCAATATGTTTGTCTCAAAAAAATTGGCGCAAAAATTGAAATTAGAGGTTGGTAAAAGTGGAGTCATGAGGATTGCCTCATTCAGCAACAAATACTCAACTTCATCTCCGTACTATACAACGGTTATTGGAGTAAAAACCACTGACTCCCAGACCATATCCCTCAAAGTGAAGGTGATAGAATATTTAACCAACTCACTGCCGGTAATTCCATTAGACTGGACATACCAAGTATCTCGAGTTAAATTCAATTAGACAGAAGTTTAAGATGCGTAGAACGCCCCGATATACTCATCGGAGCTGACTACTTCTCTCAGTTCATCCCATTTAAACAATGCCAAGTTATAAGATCAGGATTTTCCTTGATAAATACTAAGGTTGGTCCGATATTAGCTGGCAGTGGAGATGCAACAAGGCCACCTAAATTCACTGGAGTGACAACTGTATCAAACTGTAAAGATATTACGCCAACATCCGAATGGCCACAAAGAACACCAACAACTGTATCCGTCAATAGTATTACCACAGACATAGACCGCTTCTGGAAATTAGAAGTTATCGGAATACAGGATAAACCTAATGATGAAGATAATGAACAAGCCTTAAACCAATTTAAGGACAGCATTACGAAAATCAATGGACAGTATCAGGTGTCATGGCCATGGAAAGAAACAAACCTCAAACTAAACGACAATTTTGGTTTGTGTCTAGGTAGATTACAGTCATTTATCAGACGACTTCAAAGTGACAAAGATTTGTTACGAAAATACAGTGAAACAATCAATGAACAATTACAATCTAACATCATCGAAGAAGTAAATAACGAAACAAATCAAGATGGTATTATCCATTATCTACCACATCATGAAGTCGTAACTCCAAACAAATCTACAACGAAACTGAGAATCGTCTATGATGCCTCAGCACACCTCAAAGGAATGAAAAGTCTGAACGATGTCCTGTACAGAGGACCGATCACACTCCCCGACCTAGCTGGTGTTTTACTTCGTTTTCGCGCAATGAAAAATGTGTTGATTGCCGATATTGAAAAGGCCTTTAAACAATTGGAGTTGTTACCAATGGAAAGGAATTGCACAAGATTTCTATGAGTAAAGGATGTCGAAAAATCACCTACAAAGGATAACCTGATATGTTACCGATTTCAAAGAGTACCATTTGGAATAATATCGTCTCCCTTTTTGCTGTCGGCCACGCTTATCATTTAGAAAACCACCACAGCAAAACCGCCTATGAAATCAGAAAAAACCTATATGTTGATAATATCATAATACCGATTGAAGGGACAGAGGAAGCTCTGAAAAAATATGAAGAAGTGAAATCAATCTTCAGTGAGGCCTCGATGAATATAAGAGAATTCTTCTCGAACGATAAAAGTTTCAATACTCAATTACCCAGTTACGGTCTTACAGAGGTAAGCCGAGTCAAAAAAATTCTTGGCATTAGTTGGAATCCACACTACGATGTCATAGAGATAATATTCCATGGACTGATAAGAAACTAACTAAAAGAATAATTCTACAGTTTATAGCTTCTCATTTCGATCCATTAGGTTTCTTAGTTCCAACAATGATATCCTTCAAACTATTTCTTCAAGATCTCTGGAAAAAGAAGTTACCATGGGATCAACCACTAAACGAGCATGAAAACCAAACGTGGAATCCCCTTATAACTCTATGGCCAACATACGTAAAGGAGATACCACGCGCTGTTATCAACACATTTCAATATACAAGTATCCACGTGTTCACTGACGCGTCCATCAAAGCATATGCAGCGGCAGTTTATGTGAAACAAAGTCCGACAACGTCCTTGATTTTTGCCAAGTCAAGAGTAGCCCCATTCAAAACGATGACGATATCGAAACTCGAACTATTAGCAATCTTAATTGGAGTAAGAGCAACTCAATTTGTTATCAAACAATTGGAATTTGAAAATGCACAGGTGATTTTATGGTCAGATTCACGGTGCGCATTGCACTGGATACAAAACCATTCTCGACTCTTACCAAGATTCATCCAAAATCGAGTCGAAAAGATACGAAA